CTCCTACCCCCATCTGTCCCCCCCAGGTCCCTCCCACCCAGACGGGTCTCACACTACAGGAGCTGGAGCTAAGCCTTCCAGAAGGCTGTAGCGTCGCGTTGCCATGGACACTCAAACGCGCAACCTTCCACCCTAGAACGCGAGCAAGGTCCACAGCGCAGGCGCAAGCGAGCTCGGCCACTGTGTACCGCTTGGAACACGCAGTCTTGACGTGTACTTCCGAAGCTGTGCGCCAGCGGGAGAGAATGACTCGGTAATGAGGTAGTAGCCTGATCGCGAGGATGATAAAAGCTCTAGTTTCCTTTCCACCAACTCTTTCCATCAACTGTTTATGGTTCCAATCACTGTTAAAATGTTTACAGTGCCCATTCTAAAAGTGGATCTGATTGTAGTGCCATTATAATTTAAGTGCTACCTATTTTTTGTTAACTATACGACACCTCCCCCCCCCCTCCCCAGCCCTGGAAATTTCTGTAACAATTCCAATTAATATAGTAGCCTGTCCCTGAAGGTACTCCCTTGATTACGAAATATCGCCTCATGTTTGGTTCGGAGAACATAGCCACTGTCAATAATAAATTAAACTGCGCTAATTAGAAATAGAAGGATATTAAGAGGCTTAAAAGTTAGGTATCCCTTTTTAGCCACAGTAGAAATATTTGTCAGTCTCTCTTTTCTGGGGTTTAGTTAACTAACCTAAGGCAAGCATCGAATTACATTCTCTCTCAAGGCGTAGTTACTGAAGTTGCCAAAGCAAGGGTTACACTGCAAAAACCGTCAGAGGTGGCAGGCAAAGCAAGATTTCCTAACTGGTAAAGAAAATTGCATTTTTTCCCATTTACTATATTTAACAGATAAAAATGAAGGAAGGAGGGAGTGGCTGCTTCTAGCCAATCGGAAAAATTTGGTAGGGCCAATACTGTCTCTTAAAAGAAATTTAATTATGATAAGTAGTTTATTACTAATATTTTTCATTGGAAATTTATACAACTGAAAAATGCAAGTACCAGAAGATGTCCTGAGACAAGAATTAGGTACTCATTTTGTTAACTGGAAATGAAAAACTCAGTATAATGAAGGAGAGTATATTGTGTCCTTATCCAATCCTCAATGCTCTGTCTACATATTAAGAGCTGCACAAGTGGGTACTTGGCTCCCTACAGTATCCAGAGCACTGATTTGTCAGCTCACAACAGCTTGCTGGCACCCAGACTCATACAGTGATACATGGGAAAAGGATCTGCATTTATCCTCACCAGTAAGCAACCAAAACCAAGGCTAAGACATCAAGGAGAGTGACCATCAAAACAGATAAATAAGTGATTAGAGATAAAATGGAAGGGAGGGATCAATCTTTATTGAAAACCTGCAAAGTACTAGGCACATTGCATATGCTAATTCATTTCATCCCTACAATAACTCTCTGAGAGAAATGTTATTATTCCTATTTTACAGATGCAGAATCTGAAGCCAGCCAGCCTTTTGCCCAAGTCCACACCGCTAAAGGGAAGCAGCCACACTAAAATCCATGTGTATCCTGCCACATCACTGCCCCAAAAACATAGATTCTCTAGAAACACAATGTCCCATCCCATGTTCTTCCTAGTCTTAGCTGGACTCACCTTGCCTAACAACTCTCCTGGATATAATTGGACTCTCCTTGCTTGGCTCCTAGGGCACGGCCCTCTTCTGGTTTCTCTCCAACTCTTTGGCCATTCTTTCTCTGTCTCTGTTCATCCTCCTCTACTTGCTTAAGCAATGTTTCTTGGTCCTTTCTTTTCCTCACTCTATACCCTTTACCTAGGGTGTCATCCACTGTATGAGCGGGATAGCACAGGGACACAGATTTACATAGCCCACCCAGGCCACTCTCCCTGACAAGGTGGAATCTCATTATTACAAATATATATACATATATATGCACACACATACACACACACATATACATGTACACACATGTATATATAAATTTGAATTAACTAAAACTAAAGAAAATTTTTAATTCAGTTCCTCACTCGTACTAGTCACATTTAGGGTTCAGTAGCTGCATGTGGCTAGTGGCTACTGTATTGGATAGTGCAGGGAGACCATTTCTATGATCACAGAAACTTTTATTGCAGTGTTACTCTAGAGCTAACTTCACTTAAAGGATATATGGGAGATAGAAATGTTAGTGATACCACAAGGAAGCAGACATCTAGAATGTGGGACATTCTACAGGACAACTGACCCAATTAGTCTGCAATAAATCAATGACATTGAAAAATAAAGGAAGGGTGATGGGGAAATGCTCTAGACAAAAAGATACTTAAGAGGCCTGACAACCAAATGTAATATATGGACTTTGTTGGAACCCTGATTCAAACAAACCAACTTACATAAAATATTTGAGACTATCAGGGAAGTTTGATTATGATTTGGGTATTAGATAATATCAAGCAAGTAATTTTGATAGATATGATAATGTCCTTGAGTTTATGTAAGGCAAATATCAACATTGTTTAGAGATATATATTAAGGTATACTGTAGAAATTATCTAATGTCTATGATTTTGTTTTCAAATACTCCAGGAAATGAATGAAAGGAATGGATACAGCAAATGTAGCAAAATCTCTATAATTGTTGATCTGGGTGATGGATATATGGGGTTTACTTTATAATTCTATACTTTTGTATATTTAAAACATTCATAACAATTTAAAAGCCTTTGACAATACTTAATAAAAACAATCATATCCTTATGTGGCCTTCCTTCCATTGTAAAATAGCCCATCAAGAGGATCCTTGGTAGTATTACTATGAAATTCCCTTCAGTAGAAGTCTTACATACATTCAAAGAGGTAGGCTAATATGACCCAAAGCAATTTCCAAGAAATTATATTTATTATCCAATATAGGAAAGTAGAAAAGAGTAAGATTTAATTTCAAGGCTTGTAAAAAGTGTCTACTGTGCCTTGGCATGGGATTTAGATGCCAAAGTTAGCAATAGCTAAGATGAGGCTACTTCTGGTGTTATTATTTTCACCTTTTCTTCTGCTACCAAAATATACCAATTTCCACTCCCTTTTTACCCTCTTCCATCTTTATTTAATCCTACACCTTTCCTTCTAGCCTTGTTTCCATTCATTAGTTCCGTATTCATCTATTCAGCACATAGTATATTGAGTACCTCCTACGTGCTAGGTACCCTTCTGAACAATGAAGGTATACAAGGGTGAACAAGAAACAATTTATGCTCTTGGGTACTTTATATTCTAGTGTAGGAAGAAATAATAAATAAGTGAACATAAATAAGATAATAACAGTATAATAAATGCTAGGAAGGAAATATCCAGGGAGGTGAGATAGGTTACAGGTTAAAGAGGGAAAAAGAACCTAGTTTAGACCCAGTGAACAGGTCAGCCTCTCTAAGAGTATAACAATTGATCCAAGATCTAAAAAGAAAAGCATGACCACTAGCATGACTTTTAAAGAATTAAAAGCGAAGCAAAGGGAACAACAAATGTAAAGGGCAAAGAAATTGGTAGGTTTGAGGAACTGAGGGAAGCCAATGAACATATTAAGAGAGATGTGGGCAGGGGGTAGAGTTGGTTAAGAGATGATACTCAAGACTTCCGCTAGCACTAGATATCACAAGAATTTAAACAGTTATGGCAGACAATGTGATTACCTAACACCCATAAGCTTTTCTTCCTGGCAATAGAACCCCAGGCTTGCTCGGGTGGCAATGTATCTAGATCCCGGGAATGAATCAAAATTATTTAAGCCAGTTCTGGCCAATGATATATATGGGGAAATCATTGGGAGCTTATGAGAAATATTTTTAAAGTAATTTAAAGTAATATAAATTAAATATAAAAGTAATATAAATTACTTTAAATGAAAGCTGCAAGTGCTCTTTCTTTCCCTGGCTGCTTGAGGGTCTGCCACTATCATGAATGACACAGTAACTATCCGGACCAGGAAGTTCATGAGCAATAGGCTACTTCAGCGGAAACAAACGGTCATCGATGTCCTTCATCCTGGAAAGGCAACAGTACCTAAGACAGAAATTCAGGAAAAACTAGCCAAAATGTACAAGACCACACCAGACATCATCTTTGTATTTGGATTCCAAACCCATTTTTGTGATGGCAAGACAACTGGCTTTGACATGATTTATGATTCCCTTGGACTATGCAAAGAAAAATGAACCCAAATATAGACTTGCAAGACATGGCCTTTATAAGAAGAAAAAGGCCTCAAGAAAACAGCGTAAGGTATGCAATAACAGAATGAAGAAAGTTAGAGGGAATGTGAAGGCCAATGTTGGTGCTGGCAAAAAGCGAGGCGGAGATTGGTCAACAGGAGTAAAGATTCGTCAGTGACTATTTGGTGATCAGATTTTTCATGAGAGGATTAATAAACTAAGAACTTTTATGTGAAAAAAAAAAGCTGCAAGTGAACAAAGCTGTTTTTGCCTCCCCTCTTTTCATGCTTTAGCTGCTGTCATATTTTCTCCCATGGCTTTCATGCCTAAACTCGAAAGTTTTCGACATAGTGCTTCTCAACTTTTATTTGTAATTATTAAGGTATAATACATTTATTGGAAATATTCAAACAGTACAATACAGGAAAGCTAAGAGAGTGGAAAAAAGATGCTCAGAAACTTTCCTCCCAATCTTACCCACCAGGGTAATCATTAACAATTCTTGTTTACCCTCTGGGAATTTTCAATACACATGTACGTATATGTACACGCTGTGTACATACACACACTTGTTTTTACACAAAATAGATCGTTCTCTTTCTCCATAGAGATATGCACACACACGTAACTAATCTGCAACTTTTTTAACTCAACAGATTTTGGAGATATTTCTATATCAACACATTTATACCTATTTTACTTTTTAAAAACTGATAATATCCCATTTTATTAATAGACCATAATTTATTTAAGTTCCTCTATTGATGAGCAATTAGATTGTTTCAGGTTTTTTTTCTTGCCACAAAAAAGAAAATATGCTGCAGTAAACGTCTTTGTAAATCATTGCACATTGGTGTAAAAATAACCGCTAATTTCCTGGTAGTGAAATTGCTGAATCAAAGCACTTAATCCTCTGATATTGTCAAATTGCCCCTCCCAAAAGGTTACACAAACGACATTTTCTCTAATAGCATTTCCTCACATCTTGTCAACACTCGGTATTGACTAACTCCAAAAGTTTGCCAATCTGATAGATTGAAAAAAAAAAATGGCGTCTCGTTTTCATACATCTAAATACGAGGACAGCAATACTTGTTAAACGTGCACGTTTTGCCTCAGACTCCCTGGGGTAATCTTAGTTCTTCCCCTTAATACGTGTGACCTTAAGCATGTTGAGCCTATTCTTCTAAATAGGATAAACAGAGGCAAGTCTTTAGGGTTAAATGAGATGTGTAGAAACACAAGAAGCCTTCCCTATCCCTTCACTGTTAATGAGACTCGTCTTAATTTTTTAAAGTGGTGCTTAGCCCAAGACATCTTTGGCGTCCTCCTCCTAGCCAAGTTTCGCAGAACTCGTTGTTTGTAACTCGAAATGAGAGGAAAATTGGCTCCGCTTTTCAAAATTCTCCCTTCTTTTCCCTCAATTCCCGCTTCAGAAATAGTGGTTTACACATCAACGTACAGCAGTGAGTTGCAGTTTTTAAACACGTGGACACTTCACCCAGGACCCACTATTTACAGCGTAGGGACTACATGACAACGAATACTTAATACTACATAACCCGCAGCGCTGTTCGGAGTAATCAGCAGCGCTGAAAGCTTCAGAAAACCAAGTTTTGAAAAAGACTTCCATACCCAGATACTAAACGTCCAGCCGGGATGCTCAACCCACAGCCCCGCCCTTTAAGCCGGAAGTGACGTTCCAAATCGAGTCCATCTTTTTCCGTCTACCGCCGGTGGCACGGCCCAGGCTAGCGTGGAGCGTGCGTCGGCGTCGCGGCCAGCAGAGGGATTCTGGGTAACGGCCCCGGCCCGCTGGGGCGGCTGGCTCGGCGTAGCTGGTTTCACTCACGCCAAGTCTGTTGGCAGTGGGCGTTGTAGGGCCTGGGGCAGCCTGACATGGAACAACCATGGCCGCCGCCAGGACCTTGGAACCTCCCTCGGTCAGAGGGTGAGGCAGAGGAAGAGAGTGACTTGGACGTATCCCCGAGTTCTCCCCGCTGCCCACAACTGCCGGGCGGTGGCGCCCAGGTGAGAGGGGCCCGCTTTCTGCAGGGTAGGGGAGGTGCCGTCGCCAGGTCCCCAGAGTCCCCTGCGACCCTCATCTGTGCCTTGTTCTGCGCCCCCACCTCTCTCGCGGGAGCTGGGGGCCTGATGCCATTCCACCGCTATTGTAGCATCTTCTAAGGACTTTGGAGAGGGACTTGCCATATATTTCCAACCTCTGCCTCCATGCACATCTCACCTTGGCCGATTCCCTCTCACCCTTGGAAGACGCCCTCCACCTCCCCCCACCCCAGTCCCCATCTTGTCAGCACCCAGATTGGGGGCTAGTCATGCTGTAACATCGACCCTTTGTCCTCTTGTGCGTGTTTTTATCCGAGAGTTTTATTCCGTTGAAGACATACTTGTGCATGGCGATCCATTCACTGAGCTCCTGACTTAAAAAGATTTCTGATCCAGTTTCACTGACTTTTGACATCTGAGCAAATTCTTTAAACTTCGCTTTTGATGCTGGCGTAAATCTCTCCCATTCGCGTGACCATTTTACCCTTTACAGTTGTTTTAGTTTTGCTTCACATCCTTCTCCAGTGAAAACTTATGGGCACACGTTTGCCTTTTCCTTCAGACTTCTTCCTAAGATTCCTGATGTTACTCATGGTTTTCACCCCAGCATTCATACCTTTGAAATTTATCTAAATGTGATCAATACCATTTAAGAATTTTTCCGGGTCCTGTCTTAAGAAGTACTTACGTACCCAATATCACCTTGTCCTGGTTTTTCTCCTAACCTGCGTGTATTTGGAAGAATATTTTAGCATCATGGTCTAAACACTAATATGTTCAATGAAATGAATTACAAATGTTTACTTTCTAGGTTTCGTGCAAAATGAGGTCCCTAAGAGCTTAATTGAATTAATACAGTTTTTCTCTGGATTTACCCTGCTAGCTATTAATAAATACGAGTGACTTAAGTCATTAGCCGATAAGTGTAGGGTCATTGATCCTATGCCTAGCTCACAAGGTTGGCTTCACAGAGAAAAATGCTGTTTCATAACCACAGACTGTACTTCGGCCAGGCAGTCACTGGGAAAGTGCAAGACATTTTTTAGGAGTTGATAGGTCAGTAGTCACCCACTAATTATGGATCACTAGTGTCATCTTTATATACAAAACGTGTTATATAACCACATAATGAATGTGTTACAGAAAGAGAAAAAAGGAATGAATAGCAGCTGCCATCGTCAATTTTGAAGGCATATGGAGAGGATAGAAGAATTTCAGTGCATTGTGGTTGAATTACAAAAGTAACCTAAGAGAAACTCAATTTAAAAAATAGCTGTGTATTAATTTTTACTTGTACACTTGGAATTATAAGCTTATTTAGCTGAAAGGGATTTTAGAAGTGAATAGGCTTATCTCCCTCATTAAAAGTGACTTCCCTGAGACCATGTAGCTAGTGAGTGGCAGAATTAAAACTAGAACCCACTTCTGACTCCTAGTACAGTGTTTTTTCCCACCTACCGCACTATCCATCCTATGATGTAATGTATAATTTATTTAGCTGGAACTACATTTGGTGTTAAAATTTGCAAAGTAATTACTAATCCTAAATTAGTTCATATATTTATAACCTACTTATTTGTCTTGTTGGCTTTAGGACTTTGGATTGGAATATTTGTAAATAATAAAATGTTTTAATTCAGTTTATAAACATTTTATAATTTTTATAAAAATAACTGGTTTAATTTTACCAAATATGGGGACTCTGTACATCTTAATATTATATGTGATGCATAGTTCTGAGATCCAATTAATGTAAAGGCAGTTTGGAATGTAGAGATCCTGTTTGGGAGGGTTTTTCTTTTTTAATGTAAAGCTACACTAGTAGACCTTAAATGTTAAGAGTTCCTTTTTCGAATTTATGTTCATTAAAATTATGGTTAATATCCCTTTAAAACCTCAATATGTTCACAAATAAAATATGACTATTTAATCATCTCAATACATGTTGGATAGTTTGCACAAATGGCCAAATGTTGTCTGTGTAGTCTGTGGAGAAGAATTTAAACATAAATCATTTTTAGAATTTGCAGATAAGATTTCTGCATTTGATTTGAGAAATGCTTTAAGAATTTGCTCCCACATAATTTAAAAATGCAAGATCCATTTGTGTATATCTCCTTTCTTGGTATATCTTTGTCTTTTCTTACAATATAAACTTTATAGCTTCACTTTTCACCTTTTCCTGGCCCCTTCTTAAACATAGCTAGTCTGTACTCATTCTTGATTCTATTCTAAGAAAACAAAAAATAAAAATACTTTACTTGGTTTCTTAGGGCCTGGGCTCCAAATCTGCTAAATGAGTACCTAAACCATCTGAATTAAAACAGTGTCCACAATTGCCCTGGTAGAAATCTAAGTTTGCCTGAAAACTGAGCTAGGAAATAGGGGTCTTGCATGCTACTTGTCTCAGAATTCTTTACCACCACTAGTCTGCTCCATGAAGTGGATAGTCATTTATTCATCGAAGATTTATTGAATCCTAGCTTCTAAAGAAGATAGTTGAGTAAACAAATAAACAATATTTTTTGAGAACACAGTATAGAAATATGCATAACTTGGGTGGGGAGAGAAGGAATAAGAGAAAATTCAGGGATGTAATGCCAGAATCTGAATGGAGATAGGAGTTTGGTGTAGGGGGGAGGGACAGAAGGGGCTGCCAAAGGGGTAGATGGAAAGAATAAGTAAACAAGTGGAAGAGTAACTAGAACCGAAACCGGAGAGATACTAGAGAGTGAGATCATGAGAGACAATGACATGTCACAGTTTGCACTTTATCCCAGGACTCTAAGAAGAGTAAAATTACCAGATTTGTGTTTTGGAGAGATCGAGTCTAGCAGAGTGGAGAATGGCTTGAGATGAGAAAGGCTGTATTTAAATAATTAAGATGTGAAATTATAAGAGTTTGAATAGTGATGCAGATAAGGAAACAGACTGGAATAAGATTATTCTGAATACTTAATTTGACATTGATCTACATTTTGGCTAAGGAATCAGATAGAATGTGCCTTCACCTTTTGTTTTACAGAGCTGAGGATTATAAGGCACTCTTCTCAGTGCCTTATATGTAGTGGTTCAGTAAATATTAAAACTACTGTTGCTTCTGAGTGGAACAGAATCACCAGGGTGGACCAGTTGGGTTTTTAAAAAAATAACTTTGCCTATTTTGATTAGGATTAAGTTAAAGGGTATCTATTTGATATGGTCAGTTGTAAATAGAAATTGCCAATAAGGACTTCTCAGATCCCCAAGGATTGGGATAATATAGAAAGAAAATAGAAACCAAGAAATGATTACTTTTAAATAAAAGATTCTTTGCTTTGAAGAACTTGCAGAGCAAAACTCTGAAGATCTGGTTTTCAGCATGTTAAGTGATAAGGTGGTAAACTAGAGTCAAGTTTTTTTTTTTCATTCTGCTATTTCAGGGTTATGAAGACTATAAAGCAAATATTTGTTGAACACAAGCTATGTGCAGTATACTGTGCTAGTTACCAGGCCTTTTGTTAGTTCTTGGGGGAGGGGTCCAGATTAACAAGGAAGTTTAGAGTCTAGTTGGTGAAACAAGGCCTATAGTATAAAAATGTAACTGCATACACAGAAGGCAGGGTACCTGTTCACTGAAAAGATTATATAGAAGTCCATTGCTAAAAAATTGAACTGTGCTATATAAACATACCCATTGCCTTCTTCATTTCTTACAAATATTATTTTTCATCCAGATGTATAGCCATGGAATTGAAATGGCTTGCCAAAAGCAGAAAGAGTTTGTGAAGAGCTCTGTGGCATGCAAATGGAATCTTGCTGAAGCTCAACAAAAACTTGGTAACTTAGCACTGCATAACTCTGAGTCCTTGGATCAGGAACATGCCAAAGCACAAACAGCAGTATCAGAACTGAGGCAACGGGAAGAAGAATGGCGGCAGAAAGAAGAGGCTCTAGTACAAAGAGAGAGAATGTGTCTGTGGAATGTGGATGCCATTAGCAAGGATGTTTTTAATAAGGTACGACCTTTTATTGCACCATAATGAAAGAAGAAAAAAAAACAAGTGTTTGTACTAACCAGTTGTGTATGTTTGCTGGCAAAGCAACAGAACCTGTAAACAGTATTCATTTTTGATAGTTCCTGAAAAGTGCTTATTACAAAAACCTGTATCCCCATAGTGTCTAATGTGGGTAGTCCTTCAAATATGTGGCTACAGCATTACACACTGAATATAAGTGTGGGCTCTGGAATCAGACTGCCTCAAATCTCAGATTTGTCACATGCTGGCTTTGTAACCTTGGACAAGTCACTTAACATCTCTAAGCCTCAGTTTGCTCAACTGAGTAAGTATGAAGACTAAAGTAATGTCTTAAAACATGTAGCATGGGGCCTTGCACATGGTAGAGCTCAGATGTTACAAGCACTTTCTCATGTTTCGGTGCTATCAGCATGCTATCGATTTTATAACACTAATGTATAGTTACTGGATTTACTAAATAAAGTCTGTCGCTGTTATTTACGAATATGTAGTTAGTAACCCTCAGGTAGTAATCTGGACTTAGTATTACAAGTATTATTAGTGCAAATGCTAGGCAGTTCTTATGCCAGGTTAGTTTATTAACTAACCAGTTAATTAACTAGAGAGCAGTTTTCTGTTTCTTACTGGATTATATAGGCTTTATTCTTTGACTTTTATATCTGAAGTAGATATGGGCATTAAAACTCTATTTTCAACTAATGTATAAAGTAGGACTTCTTTCTGTTTGTACTACACTTTCAAGATTCAAGGATGGACTGCTTATTCTTGTCTGAGTCCACATTCACTTTATCTTTAACCATCATTAGTCTCTAGACTTCTCAGTCTGTAGCTACTTGTTTTTGTTTTGGCATCCATTCTCAACCCATCCTCTTAAGCACTCTTAATTTCTTTCCCCTAGACCAGCTCTGGTTCTGCTACAGCAATAAGTACACATAGATAAATGTATACCACTAGCCCTATTAGTGCTTTATTCTTTAATCAAGAAAAATGGCAAGAATACAACATGCTTATTGTAAAAAAAAGAAAGAAAATATATAAGTATGTAAAACAGAATTGAAAGGCTTCCCTCACTATCAGTTCCATTTCCCAGAGATAACCACTGTTAACAGTCAGTTTTATCTATCTAGACTTTTTCTGTACTTGTACCAATTTATATATTTTTTTCCTCCCCCACAACAGGCTCATTCTTTATGTGGATGATTCACTATGTCATTATATATTGTTCGAAGGGGTGGGTCTTAAGTGTTATTTTACCCCAACACTATTCAAAATAATATTTTTCTTCTAGAGGGAATGGTCAGAACAATGTTTCTTTGTTTTATAAAGTTAAGGTTTCTTAACATGTAGTCACAGAGAGTATATTTTCATTTGTCTCTTGCTTTTAATTGTTTTTTTAAACTTAGGTTCTAACAAGGCCTACATTTATACCACAAATTAATTAGAACTATCTTTATGTTCCAGTCATTTGCTCAAAATCGTACATTGATTTTGTCTGGGAGCTTGAGACTTGAGAGGACTGATCTAGATCTGCGCTGTCCAACTTGATAGCCACTAGCCAAATGTGCTATTGAGCGCTTGAAATGTGGCTAGTCCGAATTCAGATGTGCTGTAAGTGTAAAATACACACCAGATTCTGAAGACTAGTACCCCCCAAAAAAGTAAAATATTTCATTAATAATTTTTTGTATTGCTTACATGTTGAAATGATAATATGTTGGATATGTTAGGTTAAATAAATGTTAGTAATTTATCTACTTTTTACTTTTTAATGTGGCTAATAGAAAATATTAAATTACATTTGTGACTTCAATTACATTTCTACTGGACAGTGCTGGTCTAGATAGCAGAATATATAAATGAAAAAATGCTTTTATAAACTTTGGTGCGCTTCCTGATTGTAAACTGGCAGAGAGCTAGTTTGCAGTTTTCATTTTTGGCAGTGATGATCTCAAAGTGTAATTGTGTACATAGAATGTTCTGAGAAACTGTTCTGCCAGTATTTTTGGACAGATACAAATTTCATCTTGGTCTGTTTTATAACTTATTTAATTGAAAATAAGCACCTTCTTAAAAGAAATTTGTACTTGATTTCAGAAACAAACTGGCTTCTCCTAAGAAAAGTTTAGAACTAAGGTCTGTTTTAGGTTTATGTCTTATCAAAGAATTTATATTAGTCTATGGCCATGCTACCCTGAACAAACCCAATCCCTTCTGATCTCAGAAGCTAAGCAGAGTTGGGCCTAGTTAGTACTTGGATGGGAGACCACGTAGGAAGACCAGGTGCTATAGGCTTAAAAAGTAAAAAAATAAGGGATTGTAAACTGACAAAGTCCTTGCAGTCTGTTAGGTCAACTAAGGATGCCTCGCCTAAAAAAAGAAAAAGAAATGTCAATGACTGACTTAAAAAAAAAATTATAGTAAATATACTTTATTCTCTATATTCTTTTAATTTCTGAGTTTATTTCCAGCAAGAACTTAAAAGATTATGCTAGAGTTGCAAATATTTAATGGAAGTGAATAATGCAAAACATGAATTATGCATGTAAAGGATCTTTCTGTACCTACCTTTGGGAAATTTATTTAAGAAAAAAGTTAATTATTTATTTTTCTGTATAATTTCTAAAATAATTTTATAACTTTCCATACATGTATCATTTTAAACAAAACTAATGAAACTCCAGTAAAAGTAAATGTTGATTGTTTAATAGAGTTTAACAGATAAATTTAATGATATTATATCAGTATAATACTCTATCACCTTTTCATAGGTTTATAGGAAGGATTGCTAGACACTCAGTATCTGAGGAAGAAGAGTCAATTAGAATATAAAATCTGATTTTAACTTCAAATTTTTTTCTTAGAGTTTTATTAATCAAGGTAAAAGAAAAGAAACAGAAGATGATAAATCAGAATCATTTATGCAGAAATATGAGCAAAAAATCAGACATTTTGGTAAGTCTTCTTTTGTGATGTTCACTATCATAAATATGTGTACAAAATGTATTTTATAAAATGGGGACCAAAATGAAGATAAGTGACAAACTCTAGTTGTGTAGCTACTTTTGTTGTACAGCTCTTGTTTTAGACTTTTTTGAGAGCCAAGGGGTGAGGGTGGGACGGTCATTAAAAAAAAAAATGGATTTGACAGAGTAAACCAAATTGTGAAAAGATGCAAATAAAATCTGTTATTATACAATACTACCATCTAAGACACAGTCTTTATTTACTCTGTAGTCTCTTTCCATTTCTTGACTACTCTTTGCTTGCTTGGTATCTGGTTATCAATCATATGGTTATAGGATTTGCATTCATTTTTTTCCAGGTTTTGGATATGATGTTATATAATTCATGCAGATCCTCGAACTGTTATTCAGATAAATACAGTAATAGATATATGTATACAAAGAACTGAAAAGTAGTTTTCTCTGTAGGGGAAAAGTGGTGAGAGAGGGATTTATGTAAGCGAAAGCTTCCTAGAGGAGGTAACATCTGAACTAAATTATGAAGAACACATAGGAGTTTTCCATGTAGATAAGGGAGGCAAAGCAACAGCATGTGCAAAGGCAGAGTTAAGAAACAGCATGCTATATTCTAAGATGCATAGGTTTTATGAAACTGATGGAGTGAAAATGCTACTGGAAAGTATTAGGAGTTAAGATTTAAGGCATATGTTTTTGATCCCAAGTAATAAGTTAATTTAGTAAACATAGTTGTTATTTATATTAATAAGCTTTTTAAATGGCATTTTGAGATCTTTTTCCTGTTGATGTTTTTCCCCCAAAACATTTAGAATTTCATTCATCCTTCAGTTTTGTCAAGACAGTGAATACTACTTTAGAATTTTTTCCTTTTTATGCAGTTTTTCATAAAATATTCATTTTCCTCATAATTTTATTAAAAAAATAAGCTGTGTATTCTATTGAATTCAAAAATAGTATCTGAAGAAATAAAGTTTATTGTACATACTATTATCATTCTAGTATTATTTATAATAGAAAAAAAAGGATAAACAGCCTTCCCTTAGATAGATATTAAAATCTTTAAATGAGTAGAGCCCTGAGTCATAAGGATAAAAAGCAAAAATTTTGTAAATGAGTCTTAGTTGTAATAATGTGAGTTACCACTCTCACTTACAGTTCTTACTTCCTAAGCCTATGTGTTGTGCTGTAGGAAAAGAGTACCATATTCTGATTGCTCTTTCAGAGCATGACTGCATCTGGTAGAACAGTATCCCTCAAGGTATTGTCAGCCAGCTGGCATACTGTAAGCTAGTTGCTTTGGAATCATGAGAAACCTAGTGGGTGTGAAACAGTTCCCTCCCTTTTGCTGTAAACTTGGTCAGAAGCAATTTCGTGTGGGGAAAAATCCCAGCCTCACAAGCCGTAGTAAGTAACCCACGTCACTATAACTGTATGTGACTTCAAAAATTATTTTTCCATTCTATAAAACCTGCTGTTTCTGGGTAGTGATGTTCAGAAGAAAAATGAATTTCATGAGCCCATTGTCTTCATTTCTTTTGCTATAGAATGAATTTCTGGGTTAAGAAATAATGTGGTATGGGAAATAACTCACTTAGTAAGACCACAGATGTATTTTACTTGTAGAAGCTTGGTGAGAAGAAAAAGCAATATCAGATCTAGAATGGGCTTGTGAGGAACCACTGGTCCCTCCAAGATGAAATGGTACCAAAATAATCAACCTGTTACCTGATGGTTGGCTGGTCTCTTCAGCATATGGTGCCATATTGAGGTTTCAGCACTGGATTCTGCTACTGGCAAATTAGGTGTTCAGTGGCTATCCTGGAATATTGATCAGGAGATCCCATGCTGTTGAATCTTTGCGTAATGTCAAGTCTGCCACCATGACCCCTTAGTTTAAAAAATATTATGCAAGCAATGAGATGGCTGAGGGAAAAGGCCGACATGATATCCACAAATGATGAATAAGCAATTGTTTTGCCATTGCATGTGTGGGCTTCCAGTTTCTCATCCTATAATACTAACCAGTGCCTTCTGTCTTTAAAGCCAACCAGACCTGATAGCCTCTCCCAGATTCACATTGTACTTGTTTCTTAGTGGAAATGCACATTGACTTTTCACTTTGGAGGAGATCGCCTACTTGGTGCAGCCTGTTGGATCCCCAGAAATGTTACTAAGGTCATAGGTTCTCAACAGTTTCCTGTGTTTTATTTCTCACTTTCTGGCATGTTTATATCTTACCAAGACATCTGGGATACCTGCTACTTCCTGCTCACCTAGTTCTGTCAGTGTGAAGTAGACCAGCTTACAGTCATGTGGGATGATGAGATAGCCAAAGTACCTTGGACTAAATTATGGCACAGAGTTGATAGAAACCTGAGAAGAGACTGAAAGTTTAATATTGTCCTTGCTGGGTGGAAGCGAGTGTTTCTGGTGTTGTATGTTTATTGTAGTAAAGGAAAAAGAAGCATTTGCCAGAGTAATGACTGCATTGATATACTCCTTTGAAGTAAACACATCAGAATAGTAGCTGTAATTAGAGATTCCAGCTAGAGACTTTCTAAACTTGGATTGCATTCCAGAGTCTTGGAAGACATGGGCCTGGTATCAACTTTTCAACTAATTTCTTACTAATTTAGATAAAGATGAAGATACACCTTAAGTACTATTTGGATTAATTTGATATATTTTGAAATATGCTTAACTAATTTTTTTTTTTAATTTTGTTTTCTGTGTGTATAAACAGTCATTTTGACTGAACGGTTAACATGATTAAAATAGATAAAGTATATTTGCTTTTATAACTCTGATTGATTTCCCATGCTGTCATCATCTCAGACATCTTTTAATAAATTAGAATGTAGTTTCTCTGAACCTTCTAGATCTTGGTTTGCTAAGTGTAGTTGCACGAGGTTTTGCTGTCTTCTATATCTTTATAATAGAAAAAAATTCTATTATATGAATAAATAATATATGAGTATCTAAAAATCATTTGTATTCACTAGAATGACCAGCCATCTCAGTTTGCCCAGGGCTTTGGGCACTCTTTAGATGCAAGAGGTTGGGCATTAAACCATTCACTCTAAGTGTGACTAATTATCGGAAACAAAACTTTGTGAATTTTTGGAAGCTATTTCCAATATACTGGGTATTACTTTAAAAGAGCTTTATCCCTTTATTTGCTCTTTTACCATAACATATCGCTGGGGTCATTTGAATTGTCTTTAAAGGGAATCATTTTAAAATATCATTTCTTTGCTTACAAGAAGAAAGTATTTGATATTCATGGTTTAATTCTTTTTTTACAGGTATGTTGAGTCGATGGGATGATAGTCAGAGATTTTTGTCTGACCATCCATACCTCGTATGTGAAGAAACTGCTAAATATCTTATTTTATGGTGTTTTCACCTGGAAGCTGAACAGGTATCATATGAACCCTCGAATTTTTGGGAACCTTAGTGGAATTCTGGTTTACTTGTTTTGGTTTTTGTTTTGTTTTTTGTTTTTGTTTTTTTTTTTACATTACTTTAAATGAAAGGTCATTAAATGGAACTACAATTTTTTTTTGTTTATTTTAAAATCTACTTGAGTTTACTGTGAGAATATTTTTTAGTTGTTTAAGTTGGCATATGGAAACTTTAATGTGCTTTCCTCATTCTCCCATCTCTCTTGTTCCCATATACTATAAACCTTTTTCTTTTTTAACAAATGATTTTCCAATGTTTTCAAAATCCAAATAGTAATCACAATATTAAATATATTTCAAGAGATATTTCTTACTATTTTAATCTGTTTATTTTCAGAAAGGGGCTCTAATGGAACAAATAGCACATCAAGCTGTTGTAATGCAGTTTATTATGGAAATGGCCAAAAACTGTAATGTGGATCCAAGAGGGTGTTTCCGTTTATTTTTCCAGAAAGCCAAAGTAAGTAACTATTTGGTACTGTTAAATGGCAAGGTTAGGCCTTACCAGAGACTTCTTTGGTCTATACACATCAAAAGAAGCCATCCAACCAGGATGCCACAGGCTAACTTCCATTAGATTTTTTAGTGGAAAGAAAAATCATATTGCTTATTTCATGCTAATTTAGACATAAAGGAGCTATATAAGCAGCTGTACTATAGCATTTATGTGAAATTGAGACCTATTCAAATAAATGTATGCAGGAAAATTAATGTTCTGTCATTCATTTAATAAATACTGAGTGCCTACTAATGCAAAAGCACAGCTATTTAAGATGTTGAGGATAACTAATATTGTATGTCAGCTGTAATTGGAAGAATTTTTAAAATGATATAAATTATTTGAAAATAATAAAAGGTACTGATAACAGGCAAAAAAAGATGTTGAAGATACAATGTTGAATGAAACAGATATAGTATCCTCCATGTATAGAACTCACAGCTTAGTGAGAAATCAGACTTTTGTAATGAAAAAACAGGAAACCTAAAAAATTCAACAAAGAAGAATGGTTAAAAAAAAAGTGTGGTACATAGAATATTATGCATCCATTAAAATTATGTTTTGAAAAATCTTTAATGTGAGATAATGCTTTTTATAAAGTCAAAAGAAGTATATATGTATATACACAGAATGATGTAGACCATGGTAAAGAAAAATAGATATATCTAGACAGATTAAGTACCATTTCACACTCACTAGATTAGTAATAATTTTAAAGTTGTACAAGCAGTAGAGCAATAAGAACTCGCATTAATTGCCTGTGGGAGTATAAATTGTTGCCACCACTTCGGAAAATTTCTTTGTAAAGTTGAACAAATGCCAGCACTCAGAAGTTTTCCTAGATATATATCTTAGAGAATAGATTTATAAACATGTGGTCCAGGGACATGAGGGTCTTTGGGACTCTTGGGAGGCCCTGAGTCAAAACTATTTTCATAATAGTAATGCTGAGATGTTATTTGCCATTTTCACTCTTATTCTCTCATGAGTGTACAGTAGAGATTGATAATAGAAGCAGATGTGTGAATTCAGCTATATTCTCACTAAATATTTGTTTTGTAAATAGTTTTTTAAATAAAAATGTTATGAATGCTAACATAATGAGTTTGTTATGTTTTAGTTAATATTTTTTAAATGTCTAACAGTAAATATTAACAGATACAGCCCACATAAATAGGAGCTCTTTAGGTTCCTCAATAATTTCAAGAGTGTGAAAAAGTCCTGAGACTATAAAGTTTGAGGATTGTTGCCTTAGAAGAACTCTTGTAGGTGTGCACTAGATACCATAATGTTCATAGCAGAATTGTTTATAACAGCAAAAAAGCCTGGGAACAACCCAAATGCCTGTTAACAGTAGAATAAATAAATTGTATATTCATTTGGTAAAATACTAATCAGCATCAGTCAGCATGGATAAAAAAATAAGAGTGAAAAATACAAGTTACATATTCAGTACCATTTAAAAAATATTTTTTGTGAAGTTCAGAAACAAGCAGGAGTAAATATATTGTTGAGGGATACATACGTAAGCAATAAAACTAAAGAAGCAAAGGAGCGATTAAGACAGAAGTCATAATTATAACCTCAGAGAGAGGGAATGCTCTCAGGAACTGATTTCTAAGGTACTAGTAATGATCTATTTCCCAATTTCTGTGGTTATATAGTAGGGTTTTTGCCTAATAAACTATGTATATTACATACTCTTTCACATATGATACATTTTAGAAATTAAAAGGAAACATACCAGAAGTTTAACTTTAATTATACTTGGATGGTGGACTTAGAAATGATTTCTATTTTTTTTATATACTATAGTGAACATCTTTTCTTTTATAAATAGAGAAAAACATTGTATTTTTAAATTAACAAATATATATATCAGGATAGTACTAATCCTACCTTAAATACTCTAAACTCTTCTAAAGTGTAAACTAAGCAGGAAATTTTCCCAAAACAGTAGAGTCTTAATGAGTAAATGATTTAGTTGATATTTTAGCAGGGCTTCTGATGACTCTTCTAAATTTTCACTTAATGCATAGGCATTAAAAAAAATCATACTTTCTTTTCATCTTACATTAATGGATATGTTTGAACTAGTGCTTAATAGGATAATGGAACATAGCCAACCTATCTATATGCTTGAAATTTGCTTTGACAAAATTGAACTTAAAGGCACTGAGGTCTTTAGATCTTAACATTGTGTTCATAATAAGTTTTTAAAATTACGGAATAACTTTCATGGGTGCTTACTTTGTGCCAGGGTACTATTCTAAGCACTTTACATGGATTAACTCATTAAATCCTCATACCATTTTATGAGGATTATTATTTCTATTTTACAAGTGAGGAAATTAGCATAGAGAGATTAAGCAAGTGACTCATAGTTTACTTAATAAAACAAAAGTGTCAGGTCTTTCTAAATCTAAATCCCTAGGCCTTAGGCATGCAGTAAGATCAGTAGTTGTGCCGCTTGATTCCTTTAATAGTTCACATAGTTATTTCAGAAGGATTACTTTAGGTTATGAAGGATAACATTCCATATATCCATGAGTACCATATATTGACCAAAGTGAACTGCCATAATATTATAATTAAGGAAACGATTCTAAATTCATAAAAAGAAGGGCAGCATAGAACATTGTCTGCATTATTTGTATAGATACTGATGCTAATATCTAGTTTACAGATTTTAATCTGGTTACACAACCTAAACTACATTAAAGAAAAAATAGCATTGCAGACAAATGGTCCCAGTGATATTTAAGGAACGAGACTTTGATAAACTCTTCTGCTATTAAGTGGTGGAGAATTAAAAGGTTTTAAGCATATCCTCGTTTACAGCCATGCCACCTTGAACAAGCCCAATCCCATCTCGGAAGCTAAGCAGGGTTGGGCCTGGTTAGTACTTGGATGGGAGACCACCTAGGAAGACCAGGTGCTGTAGGCGTAGGCGTAAAAGATTTTTAAAAAATTTAAAAAAGGGATTGTAAGCTGACAAAGTTCTTGCCATCTATGAGGTCAACCAAGGGTTGCCTCGCCTAAAAAAAAAAAAAAAAAATCCTTTGGTTGTTGCTTGGCAGTGGGAAGGGAAGAGAAGAATATGAGGATTATTTAGATCCTGTCAATCTATATAAATCAAGAGAAATACAGAAAAAGCCTACTTTCTCTTGTTGTATTTGTGTGTGTATGTTTAAAGAGGGGTTATTTTTTTATTTGTTTTATTTTGCTGAAGCAGAGGAAAGTGGAAAAAAACAATCATTACTATTCCTGAAAAACAGGAAGTTTTCAAAAATCTTAATAGGGAGCTTGATTGTTTCTACATTTAAACTATTTATCTCATCTTTACATCTTCTACTTCAGACCTGATATATGCTTGTTAGAATTTACTATGTTGTCTGAAATTCTTGAAAAACATAATCTGTGTTTTTTGTGTTTTCTAGGCAGAAGAAGAAGGTTATTTTGAAGCATTCAAAAATGAACTTGAAGCTTTCAAGTCAAGAGTCAGACTTTATTCCCAATCATCAAGTTTTCAACCTATGACAATTCAGAATCATGTTCCCCATTCTGGTGTTGGATCTATAGGTTTATTAGAATCGTTACCACAGGTAGGTTGGAAAAGTAAATATTTATTTTATAAATGTATTAGTTCATATAATTTTTGTTCTTTTGGACTGTTCTTCTCATGTGTAATATATGTGTAAGCATTTTAAATATTCTTGCCTCAGAAGATAACTCTTGAGTTTTATGTCATGCCATGTTTTGGCACTAAATCTCTTCCATATCTTAGGTATTTAGAGAGACACCAAATTCACTCTTTTAAATACATAAGAGATAAGTTGTACCTAAGCATTCTTAAGAGGAAGATGTTAAGCTATTGATCATCTCAATCATAAACTTCCCAGGATGTCTTTGAGGAACATCTCATTCTGAATAGAACTATACTGTTTAAGAATTTATTATGGTGAATTACCTTCAAAGCATGCATCCAAGTGGCAATTAAGGTGATCTGTTACTTGAGTTTTTTTAATAACATCTTATTAATTGTTGGTGTTGCCTACCAGATGTAACATTTTTAGTCACATTAGTGTAGCTTATGCTAATCTGTTTTTTCTGATAATATTGGCCAGCTGTTTGAGCCTCTTCGAAGTCTGCTGTTAGATCACGATAAAACCATGTCACTAACATGAAAGAATTTATGGCAAAAAGAAGAGGAGGTTAGACCATTAGTCTGCCTGAATCTGCTTAGAATTTTAAGTTACCATTAGAGAGTCGCTGCCCATTTTGATTTTAGTAGCATTTTAATTGAGCTCAGTCATCTCTCATTTCCATACCCCAGGATTTTAAGATCAGCTTTAGCCTAAAGTTTAGTCTGTTACCTACACAGTGAAAAAGGAAGTCTCCTTCAGAAGACAATGTGAGGAAAGCCCTGTGTTTATTTTTATATCTCATAAGGTGGGAATTGAGATTTTCAGTATCTTGACCTTATATCTCTATAATTTCACCATTTCAGTTACATATATGGTAGGCCAAAGGGACGATTTAAAGAAAGCAATTGATCATATTCAACTCAGCCAGAAGTATTATTCTCAAAGATGGAAATAATCAAGGTCTGGTTTTTAAATTAGTCATGCTACCCCATAGATAGATGTACATATGGAAGTAATATTCCCCCTTGATTTGTCCTACAGCTTGTTTCTTAATGCTGTTTAAATATAGTGATGATTATTTTCTTCAGTTCGAGAAATAGCCCACAGGAATTAGTCTTTCCAAGGGAACTTTATAACAAAGTCACTGTCAAGTCCAGTATGTAAACCTCTTAAAATTAAGATGTTACATCATGAATGCAAAGGAAAAGAAAATTTTAAAGGATGTCATTGATTCTAAACCTAAGAGGGAAAAGATACACACATTAAAATAGCATGAGATATATTACCAAAAAGTTGCTTCTGGTGTGAGAAAAGTAAGTTCTTGTTCTGCATATCAGGTAGCAACTGATATATGCTTAGTCATTTTGGTGGGGGGCCTGGGATTATACAGTTTTGACACTTTTCAGTTGCTGATATTCCAGGGTTGTTCAGACTTAATTCATCTGGGCTAACAGACCAATTCTTCATGTTGGGAGAAGAGCATACTAGTCTAGTCTTCCTGTGGGAGAGAAGAGCTGGATAAGATTTCAGCTAGATTAGAAGCAGCCTGAGGGACCAAGTTGTAACTGAGAGATTTGGAAGTAAAGTTTACCATAATGATAAAAACCTATTTTTATTATATCAGTTTATGGATTACAAAACACTATTACATGTTGTATCATTTAATCTTCTCAAGAACCCTGTGATTCATTTTGATTCATATTATGGATGAATAAACTGAAGAAGTTTATGGAGGTTTGTAATTTTACTGAAATCAGTACAAAAATGATGGAGCTAATATTCTAATCCAGGGTTTCTGTCCTACTTGACTGTTCATGAACTTGTACCATTGACTTTTGTTGACTCATATACAAGAAATAGAACAAGGCGCTTAGTCATGTGTTCTTGAGAAGAACTGGTCACTAGAACAAGAAATGTGTTGAGAATATTTACTAGATGAGAATGTGAGGTAATCAGTGGAATTTAAATATAGATATGGTTAGGTATATTGATTGCTTTTTGTTTTTTAAGTCTTTTCATAATGACATCTTACAGTTCCTTGGAAGATGGGTTAGATGAGTTTTGGAGAATCTCTTTAGCCAATTCTAATACACAAAATTCCATCATGGAAAACCAGAGCCTAGTCTTACTAGAGACTTATGTTCTGAAGGCCTTTGGAATTGGGCCTCAGTTGTCAAAAAAGATCTTCATACACTGTTTCTTTAGAATGGGGGAATGTAATGAGAATATTAATGATTTTATAATACTTAAATTTGGGTAACACTTAAACTTTTAATTTTTTTTTTAATTGACAACAATCTTATAAGCCAAGTACCATTACCCTTAGTTTTGAGAGAACTAAACCAAAGCCTCTTGGTTAGAGACATAAGTAGTAGTTACCTTAGCTTTATTCTATAGACTAGCTTTTAATTCTGTTAAATTGTGTTAAAATATTTTCTCTTTAAGGATTACGTTATACTAAGTGGTAGAGGCAGGATTAGAACTGAGGTCCAATGTTATATTAGTGTCCCAGACCTCAGTTATTTGTGCCACTTCTTTCATAAAGATCTGATTGGGAATAATCCAATTTCTGGCTAGCTTTTTAACTTTTACAATAAAAGAGTCACAAAGTATCATACTTCAGAGGATTTTTTGAAAACATTGCCTCCCTATCTATCTCATTTAGACTATTTTCCTCATCAGTGTTTGTAAATAAAATAAATGAAACTAGGTGATACAGTAGTAAAACTCTAAGTAGCTAGCACATATTTAGAACTGAGTAGATAAAATTGAATTCTTGAGGAAGAATTTCCTGAAGCCCTAGGTCTTAATGGCTTATGTCCCTATTCATGGTGCTTTAACAAATAACGGTTTTATTTTTGCATTTATCGAATAAGGTTTTCTGTTCCTAGTTTCAGAAAAGGACAAATGGAACATTTATGAGTTCTGTTTTAAAAATAAACAAGACCTAAATTAAACTGTTCTTTTATTCTCAATTTTTAAAATATGGGTATGAGTACCTCTCAAAAGATTAATTTCTCACTCGTTTATTTTAACTTTTGAGAAACCAAAATAAACTCTGAAGATAGCTATAATATTTACTTAGTAAATAATTTTTTTTCCCTTATTCAGGTGTTTTGCATTTTTAGTATTTACTGTTTTAATTAGGTAATCTTAAAAATGCATTTCTGGCTTAAAGCCATGTTTATATTTTAAATTATCGATAGCTATGTATACATAATCACATGGAAGATGTAGCCTTGTATGATTAAGTAATAAAAATTATACAGTTTTTTTAAAAGGAGAAAAAAGGTAGTGTTTATTATGTTTCTATTTTTCACATACATTATTCTGTCTTTCATCACATCGCTTTGGATTAAGTGGTAATAGTCTATTTTTCTCTTTATCTTCCTGGGTTTCAACCAAGTCTGACTTTAAAGTTCATCTTTCCTACTCTGCTATACTGCAGAGAAATAGAAAATGTAAAACTGAAATTGTAGTTACATATCTGGCATAAAACTGGTTATCATCCATTGTTTCTTCCCTGTACTTTTTCCCCCAGAATCCAGATTATCTTCAGTATTCTATCAATACAGCTCTCTGCAGTTTAAACTCAGTGGTACATAAAGAAGATGATGAACCCAAAATGATGGACACTGTATAATTTGGTTAAGACTGCTGAGGCCAAGTGCTATTTTGTTACAAGAAAGGAAGAACTTGGCTATTTTCTTGACACTTTTATGGGTGCTGCACTTTATTTTTGTTTGGTTTTTGAAGGGAGGAGAAAAAAAGAGTACTGAAACGTTTTGTAAATTTTTTTTATGTGCTGCTAGGTTTTTTGTTTTTGTTTTTTGTTTTTTCCCTGAAGAGAGGAATGGTACATATGTTGTAAGAAGTCAAACTGGACCTTTTTTGCTACTAAATTTGCCTTTAATCTGTTCTCAATTTTGGAATCAAAGTATGAAAATCTGCACAAATGCAATTGTTTACAAGAACTGCTGGTTGATTCTAGGAGGCATCTGCTATAGTCTTTTTTTATATGGATATGTATATGCCCTACTCTACAAAAACAATTAAAGATAAAAATGTACCTGTATCTTACTGCTAATTTAGCTGTCAAATCTGGTGTTTCATCATATTAAAAGCAATAAATCAGTAGTTGATAATCTACTTTACTAAATAAGCTGGGTGACACAAATTAAAGTCTTTCCCCTTAAAATAATATTACATTTGTATTTTCGGCACCATCAGATAAATCCTTGACTATGATATATCAATTTATACAGACACTAAATTAATCCTCTAAGTGTTCTCAAAACCGTATTCTTCAGTTCATTTTACCCTGTTGGCTTTTTAATATTTAGGGTTATAGTGATTTAAAAGGTAACAAAGCTAATACAGATTTTTTTTTTTTTTTAAGTAAGATCAAGCTCACTCTTAATTCCTTTACTTGATATAGTCTGAGATCTCTCAGGGAGCAAGTTTTAAAAGAATACTAATGGCCTATAAGAACAAAGAAGAAGAGTCTGATTTTTTAAATTATAGTTATTGTTTGTTTCACTCTGATGTAGCTGAAGGACTTCCCTTTTAAAAGTCTCGTAGAACTGTCTCAAGCTGCAAACTACTTATTTTTAAGAATTTTGTGATCCTTATTGGTAATGATGGCTTTTACTGCATTTGTCATTTCCTCTGTATAGCTCAGTTACCATAGAACACTTCTGGGCTTTACTACTTCCTATTTAATTCACTTTAAATATGTCAGGATATTTCATGATGCATTTTATTTGGAATTAGATGACAGTGCTAATTATGCTATCATTATTTGAGGATTAATCTTCTGACTTATAAGTACATGAGCTTTGATTTGTATTGGTTATAATCTTTGGTTCAGTCCCATTGAGACTAGTAGCAAACATTTGGAAGATGGATAACTGGGATTAGGAATACATGCCTCAACTTGAGAAACCAAATATTGCTAAGTGACCCACATGGTGATCAGACCTGTGACTGTGGCCTCATTTGCACCTTATTTTAACTAACTTAGGTGACAAGACACTTAATACCCATAAAAATGGACTGGAATTATTGAATCATACTTATGTAACATCACAATCTTCCTGGTTTTCAGAATAAAACTTGTGTTTTTGATATAAAGATTATAATAAAATGTTTGACTAATTTATACAGTACTATTCATCAGCTTGTAAAATTTTTCTTTTAACCAGTGACCTAGTTATAGAGGTTTTTTTTCTCTCCCTTTTTTTCTGTTCTGGAGTAAGCTCTTGTTTTTTCCTTCCCATCAAACAATGGACACGAGTAAAATCCCCAGTTTCACAAAAATGTTACTTGAACCATTACTTTCCATTCCTAAACTGTACTTTTCCCCAGGATTTGCCTATAAGCACCCAAATTGTTTTGAATTTCATTTTGCCTTTAAGTTAGAGGTATTAATGACTGTAGACTGGAAGAAATTATCAACTGAGTAAACTGTTTCTGAAGGGTTTTTTGTTTTTGTTTTAAAATAGGTATTATTGAAGAGCTGATTAGATTTGGCTGTGTGTGTGTGTGTTCAAAAGGAAGTGTTCTGTGTTTTTAATGTAAAAGTGTGATTGAATTCATTTTGGGAACCACTGACTACTGCCATAATTTGCACTTAGAGACTAATTTTTACATATTTAGCAATACTGTAGTACTAAGAACAGTAAATTGACATCCTTTTCATTTTTCTTTATTTTTCTTTAGCACAAAGAACTAACTCCTATTAAGAGGAATATTCTCTTTTCTTTTAAATAAGAGTATACTAAGCAAAGGGATAATTCATTTTTCAGGTTGGACAAATTATACAAACCATGGAAGGTCAAAATAGATAAATGAAACATCTTTGATGTCAAAGTATCCATCAAGGATTCTTGTTTCATTTGATTAAATTAATATTCTAATAAAATATTTTTAAAATAGCTATCACTCCATTTATTCCCCATTAATTCTGTCATTTTATCAACAGTAGTGGAGATAATACTGATTTAAAATTATTCTCTAAGAGAGAGATGGGTAACATTTTCATCCAATTCCATTAGTGGGCTCTTTCAAATTTTGCCAATGAGTTTACAATTGCTTATAACTTCTCTTTAAGAAAATTGGGTCTTCTTTCAGATTAGCATTCTTATTACTTTTTAAAAAGTGAATTAACATGCTGCCCAAAGAATATAAATCTAGGAAGTGGAAATGAAAATATAATGGGTTTAGACAAAGTTATCCTGAAGTTAACCTTGGGGTATTTTCAGAGAAAAATAAAAAGATAACAATTTACTGTTCTCAAAGTCAGTTCTTAAATTGATATGAGATAGAAATGTACTTGTTTGGGTTGGGGTCAGGCTTTTTATTTCAGTTCTGCCTCTATATAATACACATTTTAATAAGTTCCTAAAATGCTATGCATCCATTTTCCATCTGTAATAGATATATATGTACTGTATCACAGGTTTGAGAAGCTGATTCATCTAATGAGTATTTGCTTGCTTACTATGTAAGCTAATGGGGGGTGGGAATACGAAGATGAATAAAAGTTGATTATGAATTACTATCTGATGTCAAAACCATTCTCATAAACCTTGAAGAATTAGACTTGAGGTTTGATCTTTTTTAAATATGAAAATGATAAAAATTCCCATATCTTTCACTTGTTTCTTTAAACAGCATGATTCTTCATCCTATTTACTCTTCAAACACTTATTTAGAATCCTTTGGTAAAATATGACACATCATCAGATTGATTTACACTTTGGTAAAATCCTTCCAAAGTGCAATCTGGCATGACAGTTTACTTGATGCTATATATATAGAAAAACACATGACTGTTAGCTAAAAAAAGCAGGTAGAGTGGGGTATGAACTCTACAAAGCATACTGTCTTTTACTAGGAGCTTTAAGTAGACTATTTTGTGTTTTAAAGTTTTAAAACTGTAACTTCCAAATCACAATCTTGGATTGCAAAGACAAGAAAACTTTCTGAAGTTTACCAGTGTCTGGGAATATTTTCTTACGAGTTTATTTGAGCCAAAACTGATGACATATGCCAGGGAGCAAGATCTCAAATGCTCCTGGGAATATTTTCTTTTGTCAGTGAAAAGACACAGCTTATAAGCATGTTTTAAAATACATATTTATTCTTGCTGTTGACTGCAGGTATTACAGCAATTAAAACTGAGGTCTGTAATTACCATGATTTGTTACTAACAGATAAGTTTTGTCACAAACTGAGTACCCAAAATAATTTACTTTGCTGGAATGCCGTTGTAAATAACTGGGGGAACGTAGCTATGGGCAGGGGTTTAGAAATTTGAGCCAGTATTTAACCTATTTCAAATACAATTTTGAAATAAAATTTCTGGGTGGTACTAATTGTCACTTTCCATTTCCCATAGCACACTCTGCTTATAAAAGGTGTACCAAAATTACTGTACTCCAGAAAACACAGAAATCGGTTGAAGTACTGTTCTCATTAGCTTTGGAGGCATTGTAGCTTCTAGCCATGCCATTAAGCACCAGACATATATCCATGTGGCACATAAATCATAATGATAGGCATTATGGCATTATGGGTTTTTTTGCAGGATGTGCTCAGCTATGATAATGGTCATCAGAACCACCTATGACATTAAGCATAAAACAAATTCTTTTTGCTTTAATGAAGGAAAAACGTAATAGTGCAGGCATTTCCCAAAGTAATGGATGTATGTGCAAAACTTTGGGTTAAGTGTTTTGGGAATGAGGAGAGAATAGTCACAGGGAAGAAGAGTCTTAGGAGCCATGTTCTTCTACCCATTTTTGATTTTCAGATGTCCTAAGGGTGTCAAGAAGGCCAGTATAGCTGCATTACTACAGCAGGAGATAAAGTGTAGCATAAATAGAAGCCAGCCTGTGTACCCTTTTTAAACAATTAGAAATCAGTTCCTAATTCAGAAACTAGTAAGACTTCAGGGCAGCAGGACAAAAGGTCGGATGGGGTGGGCCCTGTGACTACCAAAGAGAAAATAATATCTACAGTTCTAAAATTGACCTGTATTCTAATACCTTAATACTGATGTATGCCTGTTAACACAGAGGTAATTCTTTAGTACACGACATTTTTAGAAAACACACAATATTGACATTCGATTAACGCATTATAGAAAGTTTTGTAAAGAGTGGAATGTTTACTATAATCCTTTTTAAAAGCCTTGGTCCGATTTGAAAGATCAATATTGAATTTTAAAAAATAAAAAGAAAGGAAAATAAGGTTTTTTCCCCCCACAAAGTGATACATAAGAATCGTTTACTGGCATTTGTATTTTAAGTGCCTAGAATAAAACGGGCAAAATTTTCAAAGGCAGTTAATAATAACTTGTACAGGGACTTGTTTCATTTGATTTGGCACCAAGTAAAGTAAAAGTAAATATGCCACTGAATATATAGTCAGGTTTCTTTGCCTCTCAATCTTTTTACCAGGCCATAGTACATAAGCATGCATCCCTGTTGCCCCACTAAGAAATCAAATCATTTTGATTTTAAAATGGCTGCTCAGGTTACATTTACCAGCAGAGTTCTTTACCCTTAAGATATGATGACAGTGAATGCTAGCCAGTGTCAATTTCTTTGATTAGGAATAAACTCCTTCAGCAAACTAGTTTCCTGGTCCTTTTTAACCTGTCATATAAATCTTTTTCATTGCCATACCTGTTTACTAATTATGATTGTTACATTTGTCAAGAGAATTTTATCCAGGCAAACATGATCTATTTCTATTTCCTAATGACACAGCATGCTTACTTTACCTAGTGCCATAGATTTTCTTTTCTTTGTGTGTGCGTGTACTTTCATATGCTATTCCTCAAGGTAGATCACACATTTTGATCAGAAAGAGAAACTGACAAGTAGATCCTAAAGCATATCTCTTAACCTAAGTAACATCTGAAAACATAGGTCTTTACATTTTCCGTTGAAAATTCAACTTTAGTGCTTTTCCAAGAACGTATAATGTCCATTTCTAACATAAATCGTATCCCTCAGTACACATGTATTTTCAAAAGAAAACAAGTCATAGGAAATTAATACTTTCTTATCTGTTAATTGATACAGTTTTATAGCAAATTGAAAATTCTGAGTAACCTGAAGGTATGCTTAACAACAATAAATACAACATATATGACTAGCTTATAAATTTCTTAGTGGAGAGGCAGTAGTGAATTTGCATCCTAAAAATCTTAAATCCAGTTGCTTTTATTCTGGAATTTTATAGACATAGTGTCTCACAAAACCATGTGTCACAGTGCTAGAGATGTTTTTTCAGCATCAGTCTAAGCCAAAGCCTCTGATGAGATACTTTTCTCAAATGACGGAATTTTTTTTCCCGAAAAATACAGAAATTTTATAAACCACTTACTCTTCTGAACAAAAGTTATATTACTACCAATTGCTCTTTTAATTATTCTCCAAACAATTTTTCAAAAGTTTCATTAGACATCTCTGATACTTGTGAATTGTGCACTCATAGAAGATAACTGGATAAAACACACTAGATGATTTCAAAAGATGAATTTCAGTATCTGACTTATTTGGCACATCCTTACTTTCCAGAATAAAATCAGTAGAAATGATTCTAACATTTTCAAAGAATTCATACATGTCAGAGTCTTAGGACAAGGAGCTTCCAAATGCTCAGATGAGGAGCTTCTCATCTTTTTAGTTATACATACTTTTCCTCATGGAGTAACTGATGCTTTTTGGTTTACTTGTGGAACTCTTGTTTGTAGGAAAGCATATACATAAGGCCATATCTTGTTGGTTTCTGTTCCAGAGAATGTTTCCAATACCCCTTTTTTCCTAAAAGTGACAAAAACAAAAAACACAGGCCTGAGTCTTTCTAATAAGTGACTTTTAAAGAGCATAATGTGGATTTAGGGGCCTCAGTAAATGTAGGTGTGTGTTATCAAGAGAGAACGGCACTTGGCTGGGCACTGGAAAACCTAGATTTTAGTTTCAGTTGTACCCTCTGGGTTACCAAAATGGTTACTTAAAAATAATAGCACGTATCATTTATTGAACATGTACTAAGTGCTTTATATATAATAGTTCATTTAATCCTTACTATAGTTCAAGTTTCCTTATTTTACTGATAAAACTGTGGTTAGAAATGTAAAGTAACAGCCCAAATCACCAACATTTCTAAACATACAGCCTGCCAGATGCCAGGACATCCCTTGGCTTTTTTTGTCTACTACCCATTTGCAAAACAGCTTTCTAGTACTTGATAGTGCTTCCTTCTTTTCACCTAGGTTTATTTTTTCCTCTATGCTACTCTTCTGAGTTTTAGGGGAAAGGGAAATAAAAAGTATTGTATTTATTGTTTCCTATTGTGTTTCTCCATTTCTCACCAGGAAGATTTGTCTGACTTGTCACCAGACCAGCGACCAGTCTATTTACTCCAGTTTTCTGGGGATAAAATAAATGGTGAGGAGAATCAGAATCCTGGGGTTGCTTTTCAAAAGGCACAGATTCTCTACACAGATCTTGGTACTCTGCTTGCTTACTCTCCTCTTCCAACCCACTCATACACACTGGCTTAATGGCTGTATAAAGAGCAACTGAGGAACTCTGGTTTATTCTTTCCAAAGACAGGATCCATCATGCCTCCACAACATTTTCACTAAATTCTCAGAGCTTTCACTGGGGACAAATGCATTCCTTTCTTAATTCCTCATAAAATTTGCCACGGTTAAGACTAACTTAAATAATTCCCACTATTTTCTTGGTAAGAAACATCTGCTAAAGAAAGACATTATGCAAATACAGTATTTTTGCATATCAGAACTGTCCTGCTTCTAAATTCATGGCCATCTTGTAAAGCTTTCAAGAGAACAAGCTTTTTACCAGCTATAAGCCTCTAGAAGAGCTACTTTATAATCAAGCCAATGTCACAAGTGGGTTAATTGTTGAGGGCACAACTACAGGCACCTATTCATCCTAAAGCTGTACTTTGGATGAAAATTTGTCATTTTAACTTCTATGTAATAAAATGGAACCAGCTTCAACTATCGGTCCTCTAAAAAGAGCATCGTGTTTGTAAACAGAGATCTAATTACTCTATGAATGTCCCACAGCTGAGTTTTAAAAACAATACAACTTGGTATTTTAAAAAAGCAATGCTTGACATGGACAATAGACTAGTGGTTACCAGAGAGTCGGGGGGAGGGGAGGTAGACGGTTTAAAAGAGGACAAATGTGGTGACAGAAGAAATCTAACTATGGGCAGTGAACACAATGCAATATATATAATATTATATATGCCTTACTGTTGATTTGTACTCTTGAGAGTTACTAGATTTCATTAACCAATCTCACCATAATAATAAAAAAAAAATTGGAAGAGTTTGAAAAGGATTGGTGTTAATTCTTCTTTAAATGTGTTATAATTTACCATTGAGCCCACTAGTCCTGTGCTTTTCTTCATTGGGAG